AAAACTTGTGAAATTTTTTTTTTTTTGTGTTTAATAAGTTTTGCATCTTTTCATTTAAACTTAATTTTCAGTTGCTTCACTCACAGTTCACACTTATTTACATTATTTCTTACACTTTTGTATTTTTACACGAAGAGCATCTCATCTCTGAGAAAAAAATTGCATGCTCTGTACATTACTCTGTTAAAGTTTTAAATTTCACAGCTTTAAGGGACAAGGTTTATTTATAGGAAAGTTTTTTTTATTGGAGTTTAGACTGTTATTTACAACTTCTTTCACACTTGGTTCTTACACTGTTAATAACTAAGACTATATTTATTGGGCAGTATATATCAAATGAAATGTGGTGTTTGATGACTTTTTTTATCTGCATGATTATATTTTTTTGCTGACAGCAAAAGAAAGTTGACCAAACAGGCAAGATCTTCCTTCTTTAGTAAGATTTTTGTTTTTAATTTTGTGGTAGTGATGTATACATTGAAACTGACTCCCTAGTACAGTGAAGATTATCTCAAGTGGATGCTCCTGGGACCTGATTGGTTGCATTAACCCAGATCTGATGAGAGAACCAATCACTTGACACTTATAACACTGAGAACTTCTCTGATGAAGACACAGCTTTCAACCATCTGCACAACAGGGGTTGTTTTATTAACAGGTCATGTCGGTGGATCAGAAGAACAAAACTATTTTGGGTGGTGGATTGATCGAAGATTTCATTAATAATATGAGTTATATTTGTATGAAAAAAAACTTTAAACATTCTAAGTTTAGAAGAGTTGACTGTACTGCATGTTTCCCAATTACTTCTCTTCCAAAAAATGGCATTATGGGTAATTTAAACAGTTCATGTACCAGTCAAGCAGACCTCTGATAACTTAATCAGGAAGCATATTTTCCCAATTAAGCCCCCCTCCCTCCCAATTTGTTTTCTTAAAAAACACAGACCAAGATATGTAGGCCATGTAGGAAATTATAACCAAGCAATATAAATAGTTGGAGCAAAGCAAATGTGGGTGCAAATGAAAATCATTTGTGTGATCCAAAATGCAATTCTCGGTTTGAGGTTTGAGCAGCCCAACATTTCCTCTGCAATTTTTATTTGGCTGTACTGCATACATTTATTTATTATTATTTAGTACTGCCATGTAATTTTAATTGGTTTTCATATTCACGTCCCTCCATTGCAGCAGGGTCATGAGAGAACAAAACCAGCTGTGGTACTGTGGTATTTATAATCCTGACAAGGGAAACAGGATTACCAAAACATTTTTGTTTGTTTCGCAAGTCACCTACAGAGTTGCATACAAGTTTATTTTTTTTCTTTGACCTTCTAAGAGGTCAACAAGCTTGATTTTGGTGGATTCCATTTTGACTCAAAATATCTTAAAAATAAGTCATCTTAGAGGACAGTGGACCCAGCTCTCAGTGGATTTGTCAGTATGAGTGGTGTCATAGTGCATCTTTAAATATATCTTTATTTCTTATTCTTTTGTTTTTCATTTCTTGGAAGTGTTATTCTTGTTTGTATAAAGATGTGTGATGATATTTTAATGTTATGAGAGCTGAAGTCAACTTCAGGCACCATTCACAAAATAGTTCCCTTAATACTCTGCTTTTCCGCACATGAAATGTTGCAAAAATTTCAAATTTGAAGATCAAAAACTAGCAGCAATGTCACATTTTGTCTATTTGGTCCAAAATTAAGATTGAATTCAATGAAAATTACTGAAATTTAACCAAATGTTGGCACTCAAGGGTTAATACTGTGATATAGATATATTCGGATTTGTTCCTAATTTTTTGAATTATACTTTTTTCACAGTTCTGTGTATTTGTAAACAATTTCAAAAATTACCGGTACTCTGTGAAATACGACTGCAGTTGACTTTGGTATTCACAGGCTAAAGACGTAAATTCTAGCTGGGAAAAGGGGCTTGTTACTATAAATTAGGCATTGCATGATGTGATTACTTATTCATGAAGACATTTGTTTAGGACAAACAAATAAGTAACCAAAAATTAAAATAGCAATCAATGTATGTTTTTAATGTTGCAGCTTTGAAATGCGTGGCTTTTTGATCCTTCGATGTTGACTCTTCCTATCGTTGCGAAGCAGAATTCGCCAAGCGTTGGATTGTTCACCCACCAACAGGGAACGTGAGCTTGGTTTAGACCGTCGTGAGAAAGGTTAGTTTTACCCTACTGTGATCATGATTCACAACAAATCCCCAAAAATCAGTTTGGGTTGAAAATGTCTTTCTCATTTTATCTCTTTCACACCTTGCATGATTATATCAGTTCTACTTAGTAAGGTTTGTAACCATGACAATTGCTATTCCCATGGAAAATGCATGTCAGTAAGAGCTCTGGTTGACCCACATGATTTTTGATAATAAATACTAAAGGAACCAACAGAGCAGTACCGATAATTAAAAACAGTTTTCATTATTAGTGTAAAATCTGTATTAGAAGCAACGACTTCTATTAAAATGGTACAATGCAACCGAAGGGATGTGGCTTTTATTAGAGCCATCTACACATATGGGAAATGATGAATTTTTGGTTCTCAATTGTTCAAAAAGAATGGGTGTGACTCCAATTAGGGATGCGGCTTCCAATACAGATTTTATGGAAATTAATAGTTATTAATTTTGATTGATATGTATTTTTCACAAGATTCCTCAATTAGTTCAACGTATCAATCCCAATGTAACAACATAATTTGGACATTTATTTTGATTACTGATTGGTTGATTTTGTCACATGATATGTAACAGGAATTATGGGAAATGGCCTTATAACCTAATACATGTACTATATTTGATCTGATAGTAGCACATGGACTCATGTAAATGACAGAGATATGTCTCTAGTCAACATAAGTAGAATGATCCAACAAACGATAAATGTTATTGTTTATTTTCGCATATTTTTATTGGAGATGCACTTCTAATAGAGTAAATATGTTATTTGTATTTCTGGGTCTGTTGTAGACTTGCTTGCGGTCTGTTGAGATTCCGATGAAAAATTCTTTAAAAATAAATATAAATTGTGTAAACGAGGGGGTGAACGCGAAAGTCATATGACCGCGAAATCCCAACAGACTTGCCATCAGTGTAAGCGCCCTCATATTACCGGCCAGATTCGGGCTTGTAAATTTGCATATACGTATACGGTGGGTGGAGCAGCCGAGCCACGGATCATAACAATAAACCGGGTTCCAAGGTCTCAGTTGATATGTTAATTAGCCTGTCTTCTGATTGGTTGAAACATATTAGACATGTCGATCATTACAAGCCCAAAGCCAAGGTTGCTTGTCAAAAGATTTTTCAGTTTCCTTAAACAGGTGAGGATCAAGGTGTCTTTTAAGCCGATTTGACTGACTGAAGGGAATTCCAAATGATGCAAAATAAAGATTTTTGTCAAGCTGATGTCGTGATAAATAAAAGCCGTAAATAAAAAAAATGTACTTTCTCTAAAAAATTTTTTTTACAAGAAAACATATCCTAATTGTGACTGAATTTATTGATTTAATCATATATAAATGGTACAAAATGCTACATAAGAGTCCTTTTATATCACTAACCGATGAAAGAAGAGGGGGAAACAAACTCTCGTAAACACTCTTCCCAATGACTGACAAATAACATTGCTAAGCAATGTGTGATGTTGCCATGCATCGTTGAAGTTCAAATCACAAAGCACTGTATGTTAGAGGGCACACTACCTTAAAATCTGTATTAGAAGCCGCATCCCTAATAGAAGTCGTACCCATTATTTTTGAACTAAACTAAAAACTAAAAATTCATCATTTCTCATATGTGTAGATGCTCTAATAGAAGCCGCATCCCCTCTGTTGCATTGTACCATTTCAATAGAAGCCGCGGTTTCTAATACAGATTTTACAGTAGTGGCAGTGGTGGGGGTTTTGAATGATTTGTTGGAACCAACAATAGGTGAAAAACATGTGACAATTATATCACCTAATTAAGTAAATGTAAATTTTAAACTGAATTATATATTTTTATAAATTTATTTCCATATGATGTTAAATTAATTTGTCAGGGGAGATTCTTTTTAGACAATATCAAAATCAGAGCTGGGATTAGACATGGACAATTAAATTTTACTATTTATTTTTTTAATATTAATTTCCCTGTGACTTTGTTCAATGATCAAGTATGAGTATGTTATTTCCAATTTACAAACTAATGCATACTTGTGTTTGACCGAAAACAGGTTTGAATCAGGACAAACTTTTTTTTTTACAGAAAGCAGGTTTGTTTCATTAGTTTGTGGTGATCACATGACTTTAGAGCTTCCATCATCAGATTTAGCTTGCTACAATGCAAAATACACTATGTTTTGCAGGAAAGAGGCTGGCATATTATGTAAAGTTTCACCAATGGAGTACAACTTGAGTTTCTTCTTCTTTCAAAACTTTTTTTTTTGCTTGATGCAAATCTTTTCTTATGCTCTTTTTCTACGACGCAAAGTTTGAAATACTTGAAAATGTTTCGAAGTTACACATTCAACAAGTTACAGAACTATAGCATTCCTAAGTTGCACACATTTCCCATGATGCAATGCTTGAATCAAAGATTCTGAAGTTCCACATGTTCATATTAAATTCACCAAGAATAAACAAACATGACTGAGAGGGCAGCAGTTGGGGTTTTCCATGACAGTACAAAGACATTTTGATTTGGAAAAAAGATCTTTGATTCACTGGATGAACTTTCAAAAGAATGTTGGTCTGAAATTATATTTATTTTAAGAACAGCTAAATCGGGAAATATACTGCAGTTTGCCACATGTTGTGGACTAAAGTTTCACTGGATCATGTAACAGATCAATCATCACCACATGGCGGAAATAATATAACATCCATGATGGAAATAATCTCTTTTCATGACCTGGTTGATTATTATTTTGTCTGTAAAGGATAATGATAATGATGGGAACAGGGCAGTAAATTTAGTTTGGAATTACTTGAAATACAGACGAATTTGAAGCAGCTCATTACAAGTCATATATTCGTGAAATTCCACATGGAGATTTATATAAACTATTAGCACTCTCAGTTGTTATGTGACTTTCCAGTTCCAGTAATTTTATTGACATTGCATCATGGGAAGAATAGATTTTGCTTTGATTATTCATCAAGATATAAAGTTGAGATTATAGCTGGTTATACTTCTAGAGCCAGAACTTTTATGCCTGCATTTTGATTCAATAATAACAATATTCTGTAATTTTCACAGATTTAAGATATGAAGTTCAGATTATTTAGCCTGGTAATCAAAAATATTTATTAATTGTCTTGAAGTTTATTATAAATTTAGAAATAAATAAAAAGAATGTTTTGAGATTTTTAACGAAGATTTTAAAAGCTGATCAACAGCTTTCAAGAAATCAAGCAGAATTTGTTGCGATTTGTAGGTAGACAGAATCCAGTTGACAATGTTTTGGGGTCACGGATCTATTTTTTTTTTCTTGTTTGAGCTTCAAAGACATCTTATATTATGCTTCCAAATTTTGTGGGCAGGTTTCTTTTTAAGTTCAACTCTATTACGAATTATTGGTTGAGATGACTTAATAGAACAACATGATTAACTATGGCTTACAGACACTTCTTTAGTGGTTTCTGGTCATCCTCTCAAGCTTTGATGGCATGTTTTATGGAAAGTCAAATTTAGCACTACTGAGCATGTTACTGCACATATATGCAATGCATTATAGGAGATAACTTCAAATTTTGCACTACTGAGCATGTTACTGCACATATATGCAATGCATTATGGGAGATAACTTCACATTTTGCACTACTGAGCATGATGCTGCACATATATAAATTGCATGATGGGAGATAACTTCCCATTGTATATAATGGAAACCGGTTATTATGCAGGAAACTGACAAAATTATATGTAAATCATGTGCATTTTTAAAAAAAATTTCATTCCATGTCACTGAGGAAAATTTTGAAATATGAAGAAATAATTTTTCTGTAAAAACCAGTTCAAAAATGAGTAATAAATCAGAAGTTGATATTACTTTCGAAACAATTTCATAGTTGGACAATCATATAAATGCAACAAAAAGAGAATATGTTATCTAAGGAGGTACTCTGACCTGCTACTGGAGAGTTTATATCCTGATTGCAGACAGTTGATGACATATTGGATTATACCATTCTGAATCAAAGGGGTGTGTTAGGATGTTTTCTTCATGATTCCAGCAGGGGAGCTGCCATTTAATTCAGGGATATACCATTATGAACCAAGGGGTGTCAACTTAGAAAAAGGCTTAATTGAGATTATGGATTGTACCACTGTGAGTAAAGGGGGACATTTCAAAAATAAACAATATTAAAATTTTGTGGTGCCAAATGCTTCAAGGATCATGAGTTTAAGTCAAGTTGGAGACTTCTTCTTAACTTGGTACATTCCCTCTATTTTCATAAGTCCTTGGTTATTAAGAGAGTTGAACTTATGAACTGGTTATTTTTATTGACATCAATCAACTTCAAGGAATTCAGAATGTGCCCTCTGACATATACCAGTTGGTAGAAGGGGCCAGCCAGGGATGAATTTCAGTTGCCTTCATTACATTCTAATTATCTCATTAGAAACAATGTTGTAAAATTTACTTATAATTGTCACCAGGGAACCAAATTAAACTAAAGTGGATTATTAAACACAGGATTTAATTTCAGAGTATCCAAGTTAAAGGAATGCATGTTGTCTACTAGTTTAATTTGATTCAGAGTAATGGGGCCCAGAACATTCCAAGTCCACAACACTGGGGTTATTATTGGGAGCATCAACTTGTTCACAGCTAAACCTGTCATCTTCTTTACAAGTGATACTAATCTGAGAGCAATAACCTCTCCTTAGTTTGGTTACAATATATCAATCTCAATAGTTATTGGCTAACTGATGGATACATCTTATGTAATCTGTTTCAAGTGAATTGATGTGATTCAATAACACATCAAAATGGAGTAATGCCTGTCACAAATCCATTCTGATCAGTATAGTAACAGGAAATTGATAGAACTCAAAATAGAATTCTTAGGGTAAGTTTGTTAGGACAATGAAAAGTTCATTCAAAGGACTCCTACTACTATTTGTATATCATACATTGGTATAGTATTCTGTGTGTGTTCATAAAGCCTTATACTAAAAGTCTATAAGATGCAACAAAGTAATAAATAAGAAATAACTTCCAATGATACATTGCAACAACAGATTAGTTTCAACCAATCATGGCTTAGTTTGATGTATCACATGGGTAGTTTCAACCAATCATGGACTATTTTAGTGCATCTATTTCTAATTTTAGTATAAGCCATCATGACAATGTGAGAGAATGTGGAGAAATCATGTACAAGACAAAAGAGTGGTTTATTATTACATTACCGTAACAGGAAAAATCAACAAAATTTAAATAAAACTGACAGAGACAAAATAAAATAGTTTGTGAGGTCTTTTTTTTTTGATAGCTTTTGTGTAATAGTTGCTGTGCAGTGCAGGGCATCATTCAGTCCGGATAGTTTTTCATAAAAAAACCCAGCATTTGGAACTGTGAGGCGTAGAAGTAACGATACAAACTATAACTTAACACACAATGTACAGATACAACTCTGTGTTGATTAACGCAGGGTTGTATCAATATATTGAGTTTTTTTTGAATTTTTATTTTTTTTTTCTGAAGGGATCTAATCTATGCCTGCCTGGAAGGTGGCTTGACTAATAGATAAAATGGAAACCAGCTCACAGTACATACAAGCACACATAAAAAACACTGTAACTCTGCAGGAAAAAAACTTATTAAAAAGCAAATTCAAAAATCTAAAATTCTAGGCTACTCACACATGGATGATCAAGTCAATAGACACACAAGCTAAAACGGGAGTCTACATTACAGCTTTATATTCCCTAGTCCATTACTCACGATAACTGCAAAAATCAACTGTCTACGTTCTTGCGTCTTACGAAAGACAAAACCCCAATATTGATGAAGAAAACTGGGCCCAGGTATTTTCACAGTATAGATACAGACAGTGACAGTTGGGTTTTTATTATTTTGTGTGCAAAAACCCTGTTAAAAGATAGGAAAAATGCAAACTCTCAATGAGAGAAAGAAAAGTAGTATACAGCACTCAAAGAAAGACAATCACAGTGATAATTTCCCCATACGTGTTAAGGCTCTGACGGCGTTAAAAGCTTTCTGTAAAAGTCAAAATGGAAGAAATAGAGTCAGTATACATGTATTACAACAAAATATCTGCATAACTGGAAAAAATTATTGTTAACTGTATGTTGTTGTATTCAAGGAGATTACAATACCGTTATAGGACTAATGTGTGAAGTATTTGAGTGTGAAAATGAACGCATGTTTGCGTACATACATCAAAATTAATACAATTATTACAGAAATTAACAAACCAATTTATTGTAAGATTGCACAAAAATATTCGTAATGGGCTATATCAGGACAGAGAAAACAGATAGAACTTTACTGACAGAATGTCTCACATTAGTCCACACAGTAGTTACAATTACCTCAGAGATAAAACATTTTGAAATATAATGGAAAAATATTTATGTAAGTATGAGCAATAAACATAGATTCAGAAGATCTGTTTCACACCACACTAATATTAGTCTTGAAAAGGGCACTACTGGTATTTGAGATGCTGAATTTTACAGACGTATTTTTTCACCATCTTAGTTTGCGTATAAGGTCGATGTAACCTAGGACTATGATCAATACATAATCAATATTGCTGAGTGAAATATAAAATTCATCGAATGTTTTAACGATTCCAACACTGTGGTGGAAATCTAATATGTGTACAGGCTGGTGTAGCTGGCATCACAAATGATTTGAAAGCCTATTTCCTGTCAAACACACGCTAACAGCATGATAAAGTCTGGGGAGTCTGCAGACATCATGCCAGGCTAGAAAGGTCAGATTAATCATACCCACCAGCCTTTTTTTTATTCTGATCAACCAGTATTCAGAAATGCAATGTATTACTTTCAAGTTGAAATTTGATAGGGACTATAATCTATATGTGGGATGTTCGAAAATGTATGAATGACTTTTTTCACACCAAAATTATACTGAAACATATTGCACATTTTATGTACTTATGTAATTTTTTCCAAAAATGAGCCAAAAATTAAGCTACTTGTGAAAGTTGACAAAAGTTGACTGTTATAAATCTACTTACTGTAAGTGAACTTCGTGAGATCCAAGCATGCCATGCAATGTTAAAGAGTCAGTAACAATCATTGGTTAGTTCTGGGGTATTCTAAGACATCTTCTCTTATTGGCCAAATGTGAAAAGCAATTGGTCAATCAGAAATTAGCTCTGACTGAATTTGAATCATACATGCCAATCGAAAATCTACTTGCAGGAATCTTTAACAAAGATTTTACTAAGATTTTGATCTTATGAATTTAATTTCACTCCTGGTCTTGAGGAATTTGGCTTGCACAATGTGCAATGTTGCTGTGGAATACTTTATTTTCACTGGAATTATTTTCGCTGAAAAGGCTTTTTGGGCGTTTTGTATGGAATTTATTTTCACTGATTTTT